CTTTTATCACGAGAACACGATTGGTTTAATGAAAACAATTATTATTATTATAACCAATTGTGCCAGAGACTGTTTTAATGTGCTCTTTGTTTAACTGTGCTTATTTTCTTATAAAATTAATTATCTTAGTTAATCATGCTTTATTAAAGTGATCCTAATTAATCCTACTCAAGAGGGAGCTGATTTTTTTAAAAATATTGGTTAAACTTTTATGTAGAAGAAAAAAATCCATTAAAAGTCAAAACGAAACCGTTGGCGGTTCATATATATATATATATATATATATATATATATATATATATGAGTTGTACTATATAAAAGGACATTCGTTTGGGTAACTGAGGAGTATTTCAACTATTCGATACTGTAATTTCTTTGTTGTATACGCTGACTGTTTAAACAGAAGATAATAAAATATATAGCTCATTTTAAGAGTATTATATTATTAAAACTAAGGTAATTCATAGTAATTTACATTAAAAATAGGTGTCTTAATAAAACGATATGATTGACACTAATACCATAGATGTTTAACGCAACTTTTACAAACACATATAATGTCAAGAAAAAAATATATATTCATAGACATTTGGCTTCATTAACTTAAAAATACTAGTTAGTCCTTCGGTAAACTTCATTGATAGTTGAGGTATTTTGATTGTATAGTAGCAGAAACCTGTACAAAAGTTAACTATCCAATTCACGAGAAAAATAGTTTAGGTATTCTGTAATCATTTTAAATTATCCTATATCATTTACTGCTATTGTAACAATAATATGTTATTTTCTATAAACATGCGCATGTACTCTGATGCTGATTTTGTTCCTCGGAATTCTGAGTTTATACATGCTAAATATTTTTTGCAGGAAATCAATTGTAGAAGTAACTAACATGTTTTAAAGTATTTCAAATGTCCAGAAATGAAACAATTATCACTTTAGTTTGATCAAAGACATTCGGTTATCGATAAAGTGTAAATAATAAAATGAGGTATAGCAGTTAGATTTCAAAAATGTTACATATATATTATCAGTTTTTATAGTTTCTTTTTTTGATTACAAAAAACAATCAAGAGAAATCATTCAAAGATTTTTGACATTTCAATTTAATTTGAATTATCAGTAAATGACAAGAGAGAACAATTTCTTTTTAACTTTTATGAAATAAAGATATCACAGTAAAATAAGCATTTATGAATAATTACTTAGGAATATCAACAAATTTCAAGATATATAAAGAAATTAGGTACATTTATGACTAAACAAATGGTTAGTTTTAAAGAGATTTTTGTTACCATAAAATGATATTTTTAAAATTGAATGAAGATTTTGACTAATCACTTATTTAAGTAACTATTTGTTCATTTATGTGTAATGGTTTTTTTTTAAATTTTCTTATCGACGTTCAAGACTACAATTGATCTGTCTTTTTTGGAATATGTGAATCTTGTGCGTATTGCTTTGATATTGCCACTAAGTCACAAATATTTTTCGGCAGAAATGGATGATTACTTGTTAAGCTAATTAAAATGATATGAACATATATTTGAATAAAAACAATGAAATACTCAACTGTTAATTACATTAATGAATCATCTTCAGATTATAAAATCAAACTATGTTATTCGTGAATCAATACATGTTTATACATAATATTAGAATAGTTTAATTAGACTGATTACAATTACATATGATATCGTGACAATGATGGGCAATAAGAAACTTCATAAAATTAGGTATCTGTGAAACTTGACTGAATTTCTTTATAATAATTAAGTGCTCTGTTAATGAAATAATATTATATGGTGTTTATTTATGAGATTAAATTTTGTAGATTAAATATATTTATAATGACGTTCACCCCTCTATCATTAGTTGTCATGATAACAACGAACAAAACAATGACATACTTAATTGGCTATAAACATCTTTTCTATGAATTATAACACATGCTACAATCGAAAGAATAAACTATAAACAAATTACTTTCTTTCAGAATTAATTTTTACAGAAATTAATTAAATCATTGAAAATCATACTGAACTGAAGTTATTATCACTATCAAATCTGTACTAATAGAAATGATCAATGTACAAACTCGGGTAAATAAAGTAGAATTCACTTTAGTTAATCAATTTAAACATCAACTTTAAATATAAAATATAAAAGAGATAATAGTACCATATAGTCTCTTATATGTAACTATAATTTAATAAACTTTTATATAAATAACCAGTTTCAAATATCAATATTTTTCAACTTTTTAAAGTATATCCTTTTAGATGCGTATTCAGAATGACAAGTAATTGCCGTAATACTTTAATTACGCAACTAAATGATTGAAAAGTACTATCTTTTCGTTCAATGCTTACTGCTAACGGAATTTCGTATACATAACATCTGCCATGTAGTTAAAATATTTTGTTACTAACATGTACTTGATAAGATAAGTGATCTAACTAATTCACAGCATATTTTTAGAAAATGTTTGGATAATAAATGACTTAATGACTATAAATGAAATTTAATTAAGATTTTATTGAATTACCATTTTCTGTAGCAAACTTGGTTGTTCGTCGAAGTCAAAGAAACAGTGGCAGTATTTATAATAATGTGGTATTTTAAAATTATAAGCTCCGGTGGACATACATTCTATTAGCTATATGAGTAAAATTTTGAAACAGTTAATATAAAGTCATATATTGCGAACACTGGTCAGTCAGCTAGTCAATCACAATCAACTCAGAATATGGTATGTAACTTTATCTGTTACCACACCATATTAGCGCAGAAAAATAAAATCACCAAAACAAACACTAAAGTAGTACAAATAGAAACCATATTAGTGTTAGTCGGGAAGATTTGATATTAATAATATGATTCGAAAAGGGAGAATTAATTCGAGAAATAATTGGTACAAGACAAATTTAAAGCTCATCACCTAAGGGAAGATCAAGACTAAATGAACCTCCTATCGATTATTGGTCGTCATCCAGTGTCTGTAATGCCTTATTACGGTTGTCACATACATCTCAACTAGGTAACTTGGATCGACCAACATGACCCAACTAAACAATTAACTACTTCATAGAGTGATCTAATGTCATTGTGTAGTCGCCCCTAGCTATATATATCCCTAATGTTATTTAATCTATTAAGTTTTGAGCCAAAAATAAACATAAGTCAAGAAACAATGAGAATGAAGTTATAGATTATCTATGGTTATATGTAATTCGTTTAAGATGATATATTTGTTTATTCTATCAAGATATATATATATATTAAACAAGCTATTTTAACCTTTTTAAGATAGGTTAAGATTTTAAATGTTTACATCATCAGTAAATCTTACAATAAACAAAAGGATATCCGTTCCTGTAAGAATTTTACTTTATATAAGTTTATTTTATTTTTGTGTACCTACTTATTTGTTTTGATTTATACAAAGAATGGGGAAAACTCGTTGGAATCTATTTTATGCTAAGGATTTCGTATTGTAATAAACATATAATACAGAATCGAACGGTTACTAATTAATGGACTGTACTAATATCAGTAAATAATATCCTTATTTGAAAGTTTCCGTATGGAGATTCAGTATTGAAACTCATATAACTGTAATTATTGTTTGATGATTAGAATACATTACACATATGCTCTTTTTGAAGTTAAATAAAATATCTTTATCAGGATAAAATTGTTCTAAAAAAACAAAGAATTTTACATATATCACTTAAAAGGTAGTAGTCAGTATCTTTTATTATGGCTAAGTTTTAAATTTACCTCTCATTAAAAGTCAGATAAATGTCCTACATTTTAAAAAGTGCATGTGTGTAATGTATTCTAATCATCAAACAATAATTACAGTTATATGAGTTTTAATACTAAAGCTCCGTACGTAAAATTTCAAATAAAGATATTATTTACTGAAAATAGTACAATCCATTAATTATTAACCGTTTGATTACGTATTATATGTTTGTTACTACTTGACTATATCTTTTACTAACTGAATTCACATATTGATTTTATCATGAGCTGTAGTGTAAGCATATCTTAACTGTCGATGTATTAACTATTAAATTTCATTGTTTTATCCATTAAGACAGGATTAATTATTTTGTTGACATCCATCTCAAACAACTCTATACTGAGCCCTTCTAGGGTTACTGCCGGTCCTGATCCAAGACAAAGATGGAGAGTTGGGTGAGAGGTTAGCAACCCCATCCTGTAAAAATCGACGTTACTAAGTAAACGCTCAACGCTTATTATTCTCAGGTGAGTTTGAAAGGGAAAATAATTTTACAGAATTGAAAATTTTTGATACCACCCTGGTTAACCACATTTAAAAGCTTCTAAATGTGAAGAAGACAAAGCGAATAACTCAGCAAGTTGTGTAAAACAGTTTTAACAATACTCAAAGTAATTTGTTGAAGATACTATGCTTGTTCAATACACAAAAAATTACGCAACTAACGAATTTCTGTAGTTTATTCTGATGGAAAATTTACATAACCCAATGAATCGTTGGAAAGCAGCAAACATCTAAGAAATTTCGAGTCCTAATTTGGGACTACTCAGCTTCTTTTTTAACCTGTAATACATATATTTCTTGATGAGTACAATATCCGTATACTGCTAATCCAGCGGTTCTTATATTTTTATTTATCACGACTCCCATTTGACGCCACTAATAAATATTTCACTCACGACTCAGTTAACTTGCAAAAAACAGACCAGAGATCCGAGCAAATTTTTCAATACTAATCATTAGTAAGGAGATAGTTCTACGTATTAGGTTGGTTACTTAAAACGTTCATACAGTTTAAAAGAAGGGAAACATTTATTAGTTGTAGCGAGTGCGTTGACCTGAAGCAGTAGTCTGATAATGAATATAAAATTTTAGCATATAACGGAACATTTTCAAAGTTCCAAGTAAAACAATCACTCATTTTCGTTAAAGCACATTATTTAAAGTATATTTGATTTTTAAGTGACTTTTAATGTAAAATGGGAGTAGTAATCATCATCATCATCATCATCATCATCATCATCATCATCATCATCATCATCATCATCATCATCATCATCATCATCATCATCATCATCATCATCATCATCATCATCATCATCATCATCATCATCATCATCATCATCATCATCATCATCATCATCATCATCATCATCATCATCATCATCATCATCATCATCATCATCATCATCATCATCATCATCATCATCATCATCATCATCATCATCATCATCATCATCATCATCATCATCATCATCATCATCATCATCAGTATCTAGTACTTGTTTAACTGACGGTAAAAGTGACCAATTACATAGACTTGGCTAAATTTTAGTTCATTTTAAAGTGGCACTGTAATTGGTCATGCATCAGGGATAATATTACATGATTCATAAGAACGAACATACATTACATATGCTTCCTATAAAACAATATTTTACCATAATTTTATTGAGTATAACGTCGATAACTTTTCATCAGTACGGCACAAAACGCTTCATTATGAAATCTAATAAGTTTCCCTGTGAGTACATCTAAGTAATCTTTAAACAAAGATGAAAATAAATTATATTCTACATTATGTATAGTAATTGTATAACTGTTTATTGTATACATTTAAAGATACATTATTCTATTTAATCTTTTTTTTCTCTAATGACATTAACTGACTTGTAGTATAAATTACATTATTTTACTACATCTATTAACATTCACAACATGTGTATAAATTATAAAGTGCATAGAGCACATGAATGTGCAAATGTTTCATACTTAACACTTTTTCTATATTTATATGAATATTTAACTGAAGTCATTATAAACGTTACCAATATGCTTGTAATATATATATATATATATATTCTTCATACTATTCTAAATAACTTACAATTTCCGGAATATATTGTTAAATCATCTGACTATTTATATAGCGAAATCCTCTTTCTTTTCATTGTCATGTGTTTAAAAATCATATTTCTCAGTAAAGAGTTGATGTAAATATGAAAACGGTAAAACAAAAATTAATACACTGACCAGAATAGAAACAGTTTAACAACAACAACAACAACAACAGCAATTTCTAATATTAAATTGTTTGTTGTAAACTGTATACTAACTAATCTAATGAGATAAACATTTTTCTAATATTTCATGTTAAAATTGTTAATTTAAAAAAAACAAAATAAAATAAACAAACTAAATAGTTTTTAAATAAGAACTTTCGTCTAAATTTGATCGAATAGTTTCACAGTATTTCTGCGTCGAGTTAATGTGAGATATTAAATAGGAAGAATGAATTTTGAATAGTTTCTCTTTCTTTCAATAAATTGCATTTTAAACAAAATTATACGTTCTGTTAACAATTCATCATCGTTATTGAATATATGGATAACTAAAGTCTACTATTTTATCTCATTCGAATGGTGAAGGGTTGAAATCATAATGATTGAAATAATTTATATGCTGATTCATGTAAATATTACACATATTAGTTCATAATTAATGTTACACTAGTTTATATGTTATTTATTTATTACTTATTATAACAACCTTATAAGGTTTAAAAACAGTTATGATAATCGCTTTATTTATTATTATATATTTCTATGTAGTAGGGAAATATCAGCACGAATAGTGTAATGTCTTACTAATGTTTTTAAGAAGTTGAAAAAATATATAACAATATGTACTTTAACAGAAGTAGTTCTTTTCTGATTTTCTTTAACGGTAGGAGTTTTTGACATTTTTGTTGCCTACTACATATATGCTGGATGACGTGATGTGAAACGTTTGCATAGTTGAGCCGCATTTTGTAAGTAGATTAGTAAAGAAAAAGCATATTAACAACTATTTTGTTTTCTCTTCGTTTTTGTGCCTTATATCATGAAGATAGTCTACTCAGTTCTTCAAAAAAATGTCAATAAATAATTTTGATAACGGAAGTGGACTACTGTAATAAATATCTAATGAAGCTATTCACGATGTGTAGTTCCACTGAAAGGTGTGTCATATGTATTATGTTGTATGTCACTGAGTTATTTATGCTTTTTTTAACACTATAATTATGTCACAAAAAAGTGATCTATGTTTTGTGTCATTGCTTCTTGAAGTAACAAAATTAGTCTGACAATTTAATGAGTCACAATGTTTTAACGAATTCCAAGCATCAAAATTCAGTTTTGAGTAGGATAGTGGGTGTCAAATTAGTGCTTCCATGTATGGAAATAAAAAGCAGTGTAATAAGAAGTGGCTTGGTGAGATAGTGAAAAAGGTTGGACGATGATTGCCCTGCTGAAGTTTCTAACTCGCCGGGCTCTGATTACCATCAATCACATCCTTGCTTATATTTTCTGAAAAAGATTTTCGGAGATAGAATTCGAACACGAAGCATTCTCAGGAAATGGAACCAGTTACTTGATACATAGGAACAGTGGGATCAGTACAGAAAATGAGAAATGTGTACTTGCGTGATTGGCTTATTAGTTTCGGTAGCACCATTAAAAGCGCGTGGAATTCATCACTCTACATAAACTTCATTGACTACGAAAAGGCATTTGATAGCGTGGACAGAACAACACTATGGATGCTTCTTCGACACTACGGCGTGCCTCAGAAGATAGTCAATATCATACAGAGTTCATATGATGGATTACACTGCAAAATCGTGCATGGAGGATAGTTGACAAAGTCGTTCGAAGTGAAGACCAGTGTTAGGCAAGGTTGCTTACTCTCACCCTTTCTGTTTCTCCTGGTGATCGACTGCATCATGAAGACGTCAACATCTGAAGGGAAGCACGGGACACAGTGGACATCTAGGATGCAGTTGGATGATCTAGACTTCGCAGATGATCTGGCCCTCCTATCCCAAACGCAACAACAGATGCAGGTGAAGACGAACAGTGTGGCAGCAGCCTCAGCAGCAGTAGGTCTCAATATACACAAAGGGAAAAGCAAGACTCTCCGATACAACACAACATGCAACATTCCAGTCACAATTGACGGAGAAGATTTGGAAGATGTAAAAACCTTTACATATTTGGGCAACATCATTGATGAACACGATGGATCTGATGCAGATTTGAAGGCGCGGATCGGCAAAGCAAGAGCAGCATATTTACAACTGAGGAACATCTGGAACTCAAAACAACTATCAACCAACACCAACGTCAGGATTTTCAATACAAATGTTTAGAGAGTTCTAATGTATGAATAAACTGTTCAGCACAAAGAACAAATTACCTTCGAAATACTCCTTCTGAGCTATAACAATTAGTTATTTTTATGTAGGACAAATATTGTTATTCATAAATAGACAGTGAACTATAAATTTCATAATTGACTGTTATATGAAAGAGTGTTTCATTTTATGGTAAATCAATACATAATTTTCAACTGATTAGTTGATCTAGTTATTTACTCTTTTTTAATTAAACCAATTCGAATGGAAGTCTATTCCTTAAAGTGATTGATTGAAATATTGTATATCTTAGATACCGGTGAACTTTTATTGTCATTATAACAAAATTAGAATTTTGTTATAATTTTTTCTAATTTCATTTATCAAAATTATTGAGGTTAATTCAATAAACAATACAATATGTCTTCATTCATTAAACCAACTAATCTATTATTATCCTTTATTATTTTCTGTATACTCAAAGTCGGAAAAACAAACAATTATTATACTTTGAAATGTATGTTGTAATAAGTAAACATTGATTTTGAAACATTTTCATGATTATTCTATTATAACTAGATCCATTTATAATCTTTTGTTTTACATAAAGTTTTTACAAAATAAAATTCATAATGAACATTTATGTTGTTCCTTGTAAAGTTTTTTTTCATATATTTCTCAACACCTTTCATATAACAGATGGCATCATTTCACTCCAAGAGGTAAAGAGCCTTAAGAGGTACTATCATAAAAATAAATCTCTGTAGACAGTTTAAGCAAGATTGAAGAAAAGAATAACGGTGAACAAATATACAATTTTATAATATCCTTTGGGTATAAAAGTTGTTTTACGAAATGCTAAGTTCTATATATAAGAATCCAAGAAGTGTTATTTCTTGTAATTTATTTTCATACAACTGTTAGAATGCTGACTTCAGTCAGGTGATTCTGAACCATATTCAGAGGAATAATTAACCAAACACTCATAAAGTGCATAATGCGGATTAGTTTGACACAAAGATTCATTGGTCATTCTATGCAATACCTACATATGCATTTGTTAATTTAACAGTATTTCCTCGGTGATAGGGATTATAATTAGTTAGCAAAAATAAAATAGTCACTAGGATCCAACTTCATACTCTTCACAAAATTTCCAGTAAACAACTCTGAAAATATTTATACAGTTGTTTTTTTTAAAATAACAGGTGAAAATCTTATTTGGGATGAAAATGACAATTTACATGGATTTTCAGTATAGTTTGTTGGATTACTTTTTGATAGTTTCAGTTTTAGCCTTACGACAGTCATAATTCCACTGCAAACTACGCCATTTTAATCAATATTAACTTGTATATATTTGGTTTTATGTATACTTACATTCATATATTTATTTGTCGAAGTTTACGTGTGACTAACTTATGGCAAGCCTCTCAGTAGTCTGAGATACAGTTGTAATCAAAGCAATTTATTCATAGTTTACACATTTACGTTTTAAATGGTAGTTGAAAAACCGATTTAATACAAGAAACTATAGGTTTACCGGTTGCTCCTTTAAGAATACAACTATTCATTGAATATATATTAATTTATGAAGTGGATATTTTTATAAACAATAGGAACATTAACAGCTTCAACAGGTTGGACTATAAAAATTCTGCATGATAATGGTGAATTTTATGTTTTAGTTAATGCTTACCCGTAATTAGAATAATGTCGTCTACATAATTCTTAAACAGAGATGCTTATCCTTTATCAAGTAAGGTGCAACTTATGTATGTATGTTTTTAACTTAGCTTCGAATTGATATTATCATTACTTGTTACCTATATATTGTACCTAGCAAATTTCTTCAACCCAAATTATTTTCACTATCACTTTGCTGATTTCCCCCAATGTCATTAGTTTCCTCATAATGAGACAAGAATACTTTAATTCAAGTAGTTTTTCTGATCTACTTAATAAGAAAATATCACTATGAGGGCATCGTGGAGATTATTGAATGTTTTTGACATAACGGACTGACTTAAGTTAGGCATCCACTTGAAATCAGGAGGCAATGGGTGGATGTTTTGTTCTAGTATGAAGATCTC